TAAACAGCCTGAAACATTGTGAATATAGAAACATCTATTTTGCATTAGGCATTTTTCGAGGTACACGTTTTTTCAATTTTTTGTTTACGAAATAGTTATAGCTAATTAAAAAGGAAAGATTATGTTTAATAACATAACACATCTCACCTCAAACTCAGTGATCTGTCTGGTAAGTGTGTCATGGTCAGCAGAAATTGGGAATCCCTGACCCAATGTTTGTTCCATGTCATTTAACCAGTGCTGGATGCAGTCACACGACAAGTAGAACTCCTGATCTTCTTTCATTGCTGACTCAAGTTCAGCCTTACGGTTTTCTAACATAAACAAAACAACAATTAATTACTGACTCAAGTTCAGCCTTACGGTTTTCTAGCGTAAACAAACAACAATTCGTTGTACTTTACTGTACAACAACAAAAACCAATATACCAACTAAGTATATAACACAATATTCATACTAACAACTTAACTTTACTGTACAACAACAAAAACCAATACACCATCTAAGTAAACAACATACAATATTCGTACTAACAAGTTAACTTTACTATACAACAGCAAAAACCAATACACCATCTAAGTATATAACACAATATTCATACTAACAACTTAACTTTACTGTACAACAACAAAAACTAATATACCATCTAAGTACACAACACACAATATTCATACTAACAACTTAACTTTACTGTACAACAACAAAAACTAATATACCATCTAAGCACACAACACACAATATTCATACTAACAAGTTAACTTTACTGTACAACAACAAAAACTAATATACCATCTAAATATTCTTTTAATGTGTTGACTCTTTTGTTAAATATTCTTTTAATGTGTTGACCCTTTTGTTAAATATTCTTTTAATGTGTTGACTCTTTTGTTAAATATTCTTTTAATGTGTTGACCCTTTTGTTAAATATTCTTTTAATGTGTTGACCCTTTTGTTAAATATTATTTTAATGTGTTGACCCTTTTGTTAAATATTCTTTTAATGTGTTGACCCCTTTTGTTAAATATTATTTTAATGTGTTGACTCTTTTCTTAAATATTCTTTTAATGTGTTGACTCTTTTCTTAAATATTATTTTAATGTGTTGACTCTTTTGTTAAATATTCTTTTAATGTGTTGACTCTTTTGTTAAATATTCTTTTAATGTGTTGACTCTTTTGTTAAATATTCTTTTAATGTGTTGACTCTTTTGTTAAATATTCTTTTAATAATAAAAGAAACTTAAGCACTCTTACACTTATGCCATTTTTGATAAAATTATTTTTAAGACATAATTTGAGAACTAAACTAAATAAAAATATCTGTGATATAAATACCAATTTTCTTGTTCAGATTGTTGTACTGTTTTTCTACTGCATTCAGTTTGTTTTTAATCTCATTCTTTGAACCAGAGTCACTTAAAAGATCACAGAGCTGTTCACAAACACTCTCTGCATCAGCCAGAAGAGGACGCTGGTCTTCTAACTGTTTTTCCAAGTCCTAGATTGAAATACAAAAAAGAATTTTTGATGTTTGAAAAAGTAAATCATAAAAATCTTAACTGTAACCACAGAGTTTAGTTGTTATTTACTCACAAAGTAATTACACTTAAGTAAATATATGACTCTGTACAATGTTGAAACAACTAGACAATTCAAGTACAGTTTCTATAATGCTTGTGTTGGCAAGGTTCAAAATGATTTACTTATAAGCAAAACAAATTTCATATACAAAACTACCAGAACTGACTTTAAGCAAAATGCTCACCTCTAGTTTTTTCAACTGCCCATCTGCATCTGATCCATCGGACGATAAGTGGTCATACTCATCACTAATGTGTTGTAATGACTCCTGCAGATGGTTAAGATTCTCCTGGAAGTCCCTGGTTACACCACTGGCTGCATCGAGATTTTTCTCCCTGTCTTCCAGTCGACCCACAAGATCGTCCCAGTGTCGCTGGACATTATCCATCTGATCCCTCACCTTTTTAGCAGAAGGAGATGAGCGACCCATGTTCTCCATAATGGCATTTCCAGACCTACCAAACCGTTCTACTACTGGCTGTTGACAAGTACACTCATCTCTCATTACCTAAAATAAACAAACATCATAACTTTCAATCAACAATAGAAAGGTGGCTCCATCTAGTGTAACATATGTTGACACATATAACGTTAATTAGTACAAATATATAAACAGAAAACCATACTCATCTACCATTAATTATAATAAACAAACAGAAAACAGCAGACCAATTTTACACTGATTCATTTGTTATTAACTATAAAAAAACAGACAGGACAATGTTAAATTACCATTGTTCCAGGTCAGTAGACCCATATACTAGCAGTAAACTACTGATTCATTTGTTATTAACTATAAAAAACAGACAGGACAATGTTAAATTACCATTGTTCCAGGTCAGTAGACCCATATACTATCAGTAAACTACTGATTCATTTGTTATTAACTATAAAAAACAGACAGGACAATGTTAA